AATTTTACATCATTCAGCTCAAGACATAAATATTATTAATTGTTCCCAACAGACTGAGTTCCCACTTATTCTGCAACAAGCTACTTTCTAATCATGTTCTAGATAAATCATTTATTTTCCGCAGTTAAACAAGAATAAAATATCATCTGAACTCTAATTCTGAAATAAAATACTTTTCCACACACGACTGGATGAATACATTAAATATCCATCATGTTTGGAGCCTGTTGCTGTGTAAAAATGGGTTAATAACTCCAACAGTACGAGTTCAGTTTGACTCAGAACGACTTTTTAATTGGGTTCTCCCAGTCTTTGGTTCTCAGCTGGTTTTCATCAAGAAAAAGTCTTTGTGGGGTTCCACAGGGTCGGTTCCTGGTCCATTACTTTTCTACATTATGCAAACAAAACATCCATCACGTTAGTGACAGATAATTGTACATTTCTCATTTTGTTCCATCAGAAAACTAATGAGCTTGATCAAAGTTAGCGCCGGTTTTTCCTAAAACTGGCGTACTACAAACAAACGGATAAACAAAAATTCCAGCTTGAAATTTTTGTATGTAAAAAAAAGATTAAAAAACATGAAAATCTAAGTAATTAATTAATAGAAATAGATGCTTTAAATTTCTGGCTCTTCTTTGTTTAGTCATCTGAAAAGTGAGTCAGGATGAACCAGACCTGTGGAGGTTTGTGATCCTGATGTTTTACTGTTTTCTCTCTGTTTAAACTGAATGATATGAAGGAACCTGTGAGAAGAACAAAAGGCCAGGACGTCACCATAACAACGTCTAATTTCCCTTTGGGGTCAATGAAGTATTTTTTTTCTGGCCTGTTTTGTCTGTTTTAATGTCGAACAATAAGATAATTTTTGTTGTGGTTTTTCTAGCTTTTTTTTTCAGGCTTCCACTGTATGTTATGAGAGAAGCGGGAATAGGTGGGTAAAAAATCCCATCTGGTCTCAGGACGGATTTAGATCGCTGATGGATGAGCGCAGGGATGTCTGTGATGCATGACCTTGTCACAAAGCTTTGCAGATATCACACAGAGAAATGGATGATACCTAAAAATAAAAGTAGATATATTTTCTTTAGTCTTTTGCCTCTGCAAATGTAAAGCTTTCCTCATGTATCATGTCCAACAGTCTAAATGTTTTCCATCTGAACCTAAAGCCTTATATTATCTTTTGGTTGAGGGCTGCAACATGCATAGGTTTAAAAGTAAAAATCACAACAGAGTCGTCTCCATGGCAGCCCAAATAAAACCCAAACTGCTTCATTTATACTGAAATATTTCCCTGTCTTTCCCATTCAGCCGTTAGTGAACAGCAGGGCACCACATGCTGGCTGCTGACGCTCCCACTGCGGGAAGCTCCTTTAAACGCCATTAGAGGATCAGCCATCATTCATCCAGGTGGCAGCGAAACCTGAACTCTGTGACTATCGAGGACAGTCCTGGCTGTGAGCAAACAATGCTGCACACCTCAGATGATCAGAAAGATAAAGTTTCCTGATGCATCCATAAACGCAGCTTTAGACAGTGGTGGCAACAGGAAGGACGGGCGCAGAGGTCAAAGGTCCCTGTGGCAAACCTCAGAGATTCTCCAGGCTGTGATGAAGTGAAAAGATCTGCTGCAGCAGCTGCTGCAGCTGCTCCTGCTGCGCCGGCCACCGACCCGTCCCATCGGCCGTTTGGGCTTCATCATCTCACCGACCGCCTGCTCAGATCCACCATCAGGAAACAACAAAAGACTTCAAAGGACAAAGGGAAGAAAATGACTCACATCGATTTCAGTGTGAATGTTAGCACTGAAACAAGCTTAGAGGGAGGAGAAGTGAGAATTACTTGACATTTACAGAAATATTCAATAAATTAGAAGATCAGGTTCCTATGTCAGAATAAAATAATCTTTTGGAAAATATGCAGGTATTGTGCAGTAAAGGAAAGTTTACAGTCTGAAAACACAGAGCAGCGACTAAAACAACATGTTCTGAGTAAAAAAGATGTGTGAAATGTACATCTAAAGCTGGAAGAAATAAGAGGAATTGTGCAAATAACAGCAGGAATGTAAACAGTGTTTTGGGAGCAGTGATGCTTCTAGAGCCAGAGTCACAAATATCAACCAACTTTCAAAAGAAAATGTCTTTATTCTCATTTTCACAAACGTTAGATTTTCTTTATTTGAAAACTTTAAAAAATAAATAGAAATACTGATTATTTAATAACAACACAATTATTTTAGTAGCCGTTTTATCACAAATTATAAACTGTCCTTTGTCAAGAAGTCATGGAGAATTTGTGGCGCTAAGTGAACCTTATTTAGTTGAACTTCAGACAAAAACAGTGAGACGTATCCTAGAGTCTAAGAGCTGCTGGGATAAAACGAAGGTCTGCAGTTCAGCAACAGCTTCAACAGCAAAAAGAAAAGAAAACATCCCTGAGTGTCATTCATCTAAATATGTTTCCCTTAGTGAAATATTCTCATTCAATGAACTGGTTTGTTCTTCTTGTAGCAATAAAAACAGTTAAAGTGAGTAAAACATTTAGTCGGCATCCGTTCAATAAGTTGCTTCCAATAATGATCCTGACATGAGATCATTGCGGCTTCTTCCTTCAGAAAATGTGAAAGGACCAGTTGTCACAAAACATGTTTTATTATCCACAGCAGATATTTACTGAAGCTGAATAAAATGTGTTGGAGGAAGAGATTAGGAGAGGCAGATGATGAAGAACAGCAGTGAGAGCAGGATTCCCATCTCCTGACCTTTTGACCCAGACACAGAGCAGTCACGGCTCTTATTACTGAGGCCAGTGCATTACAGCGACACGGAGGAGTAAAATCAACCCGATTAAAATCAACTGAAGCACAGCAGAGCAAACGGAAGTGAGTGAGATTAGACAGGAGGAGAAGAAACAACCGAGGGAATCGATTTCTTAATGATCAGCAGACTGGAGCTGCTCAGGCGCTGCAGCGTTTACATGCAGGAACCTGAAAACATTTGAGAAGGTTTAGATGGACATATTATTACAGTGGCACTGATAAAACTGAGAAAAAATAACTTTCGAGAATATTTTCTTTGGAAATAGAGAAATATTTTTTTTATTAACAAAATCTCAGTAAGTCCAATAGTTTTCAGCACTGCTGTTAACTATTGGACAACAAATAAAACAACTTACAGTCTCCCATGATATTTACCAAAGTTGGAGCATTCAGAGGAGCCTTTGGGAATAAAACTGTCCTGAACTCTTGGACATTTTCTGCAGAACAGAAAATGATTTGACAATTATTTCAATAATCGATTAATCATGATTAATTATTTCAATCCTATCAGAAACATCTCATTCTCTAAAGACGTTTCTTCTTCAATTGAGCCAGAAACATTACATTAGAAAATAATTCATAAGAAAAGCATCGTTCTACCATAAATAACAGAGCTCAGGTTTGTCTTCAGGCTGTGCTGCTTTACGTCCCGATTACAGACGAGCCTTCAAGTTATGCCCAGCTTTCCATCCAGACCCTGGAGCAAGAGGCTGAAAGTGTTGATTTGAGTTTAAATTAATCTGAGCTCAACATAAAACAGAGTTTAGAGGAGGCAGGATGTTATCTCACACAGATAACATCCATCAGAACGATCGTTCAACCTCTGCTGATGGAAAACCAAACACGATAACCATCTCTGCAACATTAACAAGGCTTCTTCACGGCTCATCTCATCTCATCCGTCTGCCCGTCTGTGGCGGTCTGAGTGGGAACGATAAGGAAGATGTGAAAGTCAGTCATTGGATCACAGGGAAGAACCGCCGGGCAGCACTAATCGCCTTCTGTAACCACAATGACTCTGTTAGGACCAGGAGACGGCAGGACACTTTCCCTCTGTGTTCCTGACAGAAGAATCACCTGATATCAGGTCTGGATTAGCTGGATTAGCTGCTTGGATTACGTTTTCCTGTCCCCAGGAACTCAAAGGGTCGTTACCATTACGCTCCTCTATGGGAGAACAGGATTGTTCTGACAGATTTCATTTTAAAATGTCAACTAACTTGATGCCAAACTGCTGATTCCCGTGTTTCTGCTTTTCTCCAAAAACAGGTTTTCACCCTAAAACCTCTCAGTTTTTCCCACATTCACTGGATCTGCAGCGAAGCTCCTAATGTTCTGAAACCCAAACATCGTCTGAAGACTGGGGGGATTTTATTACGATTTAAATCAGTGAAAATTTAATGTGACACATGAGAAATTTAAGATGGGAAAAAAAATCTTCACATTTTAATTACCAGGCAGCGTTGAGGGTCTCAGTAATGAACTCCTCAGCTTCCAGCCATTAGCTTGAATTCATCCTAGCTGGTTCTGTTTTAGGCCCGGTTCCACCGGTCCTGTCAGGGGGGGTGGACCAAAAATCCACAAAGATATTGTGATACGCTAAACATTTGACCTGAGCAGGAGAGTTTAAAGGTGTGCATCGTGGCCTGTTTTACATAAATATCATTGTATTTCTTTCTTTTTATAAGGGCTGACTGGACTTTGCAGCTGTGAATCTGAAAGAGGTCCAGACTCTGAACGCTGACCCACAGCTCAGTCCTGGGAGGAAATATGAAAACCAGTGATGACCTGCATGACCACACTCACTGATTACCTTCCAGACTCCCTCTGTCACTGTCATCAGTATGTCAACACAGAGATCAGCGGATTACACACATCATTAGCAACTACGTCTATTTGCCAAATGAGCTCAGCACGTTTCCCTGATCCTGACAGAGTAAACAGTCCAGACATAAAGCAGAAAACGCTTCAGTCAAACACCGACTAAATGGTTTGTCCATCAATCAGGTTCATGTTCTCTTTTCTATTCTCTACAGCTCCATTTCTCCTGATTTTCTGTTTAAAAGAAGGAATCAATTTAACTGATCTGAGACAAAAACTCTTCATATTGGAAGATTTGAATTTAAAAATAGGTTTTTATTATTTAAAGATGAATGAATGAATCTTCATGCATCCATGTCTGAGGAATCATTTTGAGTAGTTATACTTTAGGTTATGGTGTATGCATAAACACAGGTCAAGTTTTACAAATGAAAGTAAAAGTTGCTTGACTGTGCTAATGAATGTAGCAGCTGGAAACGAGGTTATCTCCTGGAATCTGTTAACCTTTTCTGCACAACAGAAAAGTCAACACCATGAGCAGAACGCGGTTTGACCCGACCCGGTTCTCATGACGGACAGAGCCGCTCGGCCACATCCAGCAGATCGGGTTGATTTTACTCCTCCTGTACAAACACATTCATTCAGATGCATCACCAAACTGAGCTGCTTAAGTATGTCAAAACCTTAAAACACACATTACCTCAATAAATGGAATAAGTGTTCAGTTCAAAACTGCTGTGGATGATTAGAATCAATCAGGATTTTACTCCATCGGTTTCTACATAGACGCTATTAGTGCAGCAGAACGACAGGCAGAAAACAGAGTTGCTATTCTTCACTGTCTGTTTGAGTCTGGCTGTGTGTCCCGTCCAGTGACAGCACAATCAGTCTCTGGGTCGGGTTAATAGATCTCATTCATCAAGCAGCCATAAAACCAGGAGTTAAAAAAAACAAGCATATTAACAACGACGCCGTATTTATGTCAGGGGCTGAGCAGCGGATTCAGTGGATCCTATATCAGTGGAGAACTGGAGTTTAGGCAGTTAGAAAGTGGATTTTGGTTTTTTCATTGACAACTTTTAGCTGCGATACAAAATAAGTTTGTTCAAATAAAATAAAAGGCAAGCAGAAGGCAACGTAAAATGAAAAACATGGAGAATATGAACGGTCTGAAAGCCTTGAAGGGGCTGACAGTGTGCTCCTAATTTGTGTGACTGAATGCGTCCTGGCGGTTTTAAGTTTGTCCAGAGATCCTGGGAGGTTTTTGATGGTTTGTTCTTCAGTGCAGAGAGGAGCCTGGTAGCCGTAGTAACTTCCAATCCAGCAGTTTTAATGTTTCCGAAGTCAGACCTCACCCTGCATCAAAACACATGAATCAAAGGACTGGCTCATTACCTGGCCTCTGGAGAACTGGAGAGAGTTGGACACCTTTGGTTCAACGTATCGTCATCCTGGCCTCATTGCATCCTAATCAGACGGCCAGCAGTCCAACTCGTCTGATTTATGGCTCCGTTTTCAGCTCTGGGTGTGATGAAGGCGGGGTGGCTCAAACGGTTCGGGGTTCGGCCCGTTACTGCTGAGTCGCTGTTTCAGGGAGACCAAGGGAACTTTTGAAATGTGTAATTCAGTCTTTGGATCAGATTTAGAGGAGAAAGCAGAAAACTTCATGGTATAATTTTGCCATCACAGCGTCAGGCTGCAGGGCTTCCTGCATCATATTAATCAATAAAAACAACAGATTTACATTTATGTTTGCATAACTTCTAAATGCATTTACTGAGATATGCAACAAAAAATGTAAAACTTACTAGAAAAATTTGGTCAAATTAAAGTTTTCAATAATGATACTTGCAGAAAATACAGTCAAATCCTAATAAACTGATATTTATTAAATACCAGGAGCAACATTTCCTTCATGCTTCAGTGGTAAATGTGGATCTCACCAGAAACCCATTTTCTTGTAACAATGTTTAGTGAGAAAGAGACAGAGGGTACAGAGTAAATGAGCTGCTTCAACGGGAACAAAAAGGAACTGAAACCGACAGCTTTCTTATTAAAGTCCTTAATGTCTAATTATCTGGTTGTACAAGATAAAGATTGATGCTGCTGCTAACGCTAATGCTGTGATGCTGTCACAGTTCTGGAGGGAAATATGTGGAGAAATCCATGCAGGGCTGTGGCTGCATATTTAAACTGCTCCTCCTAACAGGAACATTAAAACAAACAACTTTTTAAAACTCTAGGATTTTTATAAAAGGAGGTTGAAAGTGAAAGGATGTGAACATATTCAAGCACTCTGGCATGTGATGATTAAATCTTTTATTCAGTAAGAACAAACTCAGACCTAACAGGAACAAAAATAACATCTTTTTTGCAGTTGCCAGAAGAAACTCAGAACAAACCGAGAAATAAAACAAGAAACAAAAACTAAAAATCCAGCTGAGAAACCAAAACTAAAAGACTGAAAATAAATCATTTCCCAGTTCCTGTCTGAGCAGAAATAACAGACTTCCCTTCGTCCAACGCAGCCTCCCTGACGCTCTGCTTGATCGCATTCATGAAGAGACATCAACATTTAATGACCGGTTCATCCCAACACTGACTAATACAACTACAGGCAAAGGCCATAAAACATGAAGTGAATCTGGAATCAGCTTCATTCTGACTCCAGGACCTTCAGCTTCTAAAGAACAGAATCAGCTGATGAGCAGATTCCCCTCAGAAAATGCTCTATAAGAGGTTTAAATCCAACATTAAGCTGAGATCAATAGTTTTCTCAGAGGAGCTTTAAACTGATATAATTTAAACCACATGTGTCAAACTCAAGGCCCGCGGGCCACATGTGGCCCACCATGTCATTTTATGTGCCCCCCCCC